CACTTTCCATAAAGAATATTTCCACCCTCAATAAGCCTAGGGTTACAGGAAATTTCTTCGTAGGATAAAACTATCACCACTTTAGGTTCCAGGCTTAAGTACCTAAAGTATACTTAAAAGTTTTAGTAGGAAGAAGAATGAATTTTGGTGTGTATGTTCCACATTCCCACCACATATATTTATAGGATATGAAGGGTTACCATTGAAAAGCTGCAACCTTTCAATTTTGTGGCGGTTGGGAGAAAACCGTGAATGCCAAGGTTTTGGCCGAACCCATAATTTCATTTCAATGAAACGTTGCCATGAAAGTGCATGCAAACCGTCAATGAAATATTATTTAGCCAAACAATGTGTTTCTTTATCCCAATTTCCAAACCGTCAAGGATAAACATGAGTTTCTTGCCACTAAATTTGAATAATGAAAACATGCATTGTTTTTAGGCTAACAGCCAAGTTTCAACATTGTCATCCAACGTATACATTTATTCAAATTAAGTGGACATGGCTTTCCAAAAAGCTTGGCATCACACCTTTCAGAAAACAAGATTTGATTTGTTGGTCTAATCCAAAATCGGTTTGATTTGGTTAGTCCGATTCAATCAAATTTCCAACATTCCTCCCCCATTTTAGTGTATTTTAATAATCCACTAAAATTACAACATTCTTCCAACAAAACTTAAGCATAAATGAAAATGTCGTGACGATTGAATTTCCATCTTAGTATATTACACTTGACGAATATTCGAATACAAAGGGTGTCGGTAACGATTGAACCCATTGACTCATATGAATATTCGAAGATAACATACACTTAAGTTTTCAAAACTTCTAAGCGCCTTGACACTATTACCCGCCATGTGTCCAATCCTTCTCATAAGCGCACACGAAACCAAAGTCCGGGTTTCTTGAAGTGGCTACACTTCATGCTTACGTAGGTTGAATCTCTTATTCATGTACCCGCATAATACACTTTTTCAAAGATTCAATTAAGAAGTTTGAACTTCATCCTCTTTTCTCATGCAGGATAACAAGCACATACCTCGGGATGACAAATTGTGTGCTTCAATTTCTGATAATAAGCTTTCCACATTGAATTCAGCCTCTAACGTTGTATTAGAGGGGAATTGGGTGTCCCATTACCAGAAATTATATGGACTTTAACCCATCCCTTTCACAGACTTGATCACCAAGTCACTAGTTAACCACTTCGTCAAATGATTAACCAAATTATTTCGAGTTTGGTCATACTGTCTAGACACAACACTATGAATGATCAGTTCACAGCTTTTACCGTGCCTTACTCCCACATGACCGTTCTTGTCATTTTCACTTGAATATATGCCTTAGCCAAATTAGCATTACTATCACAAATGATAGTAATATGTGAGATTGGTTTAGGCCATAAATATATGTCATAAACCAAACCTCTCAACAATTATGTTTCTTCTCTAAGAGAAACCAAGACCACACAAACTTTGATTCCATAGTGAAACTTAGTGATGCAAGTGTGCTTTCTAGAGGCCCAGATTATGGCACCTCTCCCAAGCAAGAGGACCCATCTCAATGTTGAAGTATTACCTTTAACATGAGAAATCCAACTAACATCAACAAATCCTTCCAAAATTGATAGAAAGCCACTATAAGTCAATACAGTGTGCCTTTGACATATCCTAGTACACGCCTCATTTAATTTCAAATGATGAGAACTAGGATTCATCTCGTACCAACTTAATTGTTCTATCGCATATGCGATATCTAGCATCATGTAAGTTATGCATACATCGAGCCCCCAATTTGACATGGAATTCATGCAAGTACCTTCTCATGCAGAAAAATTGAGAGAAGGACTCTTTCTTGTCGTTTCGCTTGATTCAATACACAGAATCACATTTGCCTCCCCCATGTCCTACATGGAGAACTGAAATAACAACTTTTTATCAAAGTTCACTTATCTTTTATTGGTTCCAAAGATAAGCATGTCTTATACATATAAATGTACGATGACTTCATTACCAGAATCATCATAAATTGTGTACACATTTTGTCTCCTTGGTTTGAAATAACATAAACCACTAGACAAAATCACTTACCTTTGATTGGTCCCAAAGATAAATATGTCATCTACATACAAACACAACGACTCTACTACCAGAATCATCATCAAACATTATATATACAATTTTGTCTCTTTGGTTTAACATAAACCACTTAGACAAAATCACACCATCAAACCACTAGACAAATCCATATTTGTCTAGCACTTCGTAAACGTCGAATAGAGAATTAGACAACTAACCATTGAGTATGTGACCTACCCAAAGGAAATTTTCATTCTTCTATTTCTCCATTTTACGAATCATTCTCCTTCTTCCTCATCTTCTAATCATCCCTCTTCCAAGTTACCTTCAGGATATAGAATACACCATGAGACTAGTATGAAGAAAACCCGTCTTCTACTGCCATCGATGAAATACCCATCATCGAAAATTCTCATACTTCCATAGACCGGAACCGGTTTCTTGTAAAGAGCGGTTCGAGCCATCGTATCGGAAAATATTCTTTACGATTATTGGGACTTTATGGGACGAGGGTACACGTACAATAGCCCGACAACCGATGACCAGGATTATGATAGAGTCGTGAACAACGTTCACTTTCCGTAAAAAATATTTCCACCCTCAATAAGCCTAGGGTTACAGGAAATTTCTTCGTAGGATAAAACTATCACCACTTTAGGTTCCAGGCTTAAGTACCTAAAGTATACTTAGAAGTTTTAGTAGGAAGAAGAATGAATTTTGGTGTGTATGTTCCACATTCCCACCACATATATTTATAGGATACGAAGGGTTACCATTGAAAAGCTGCAACCTTTCAATTTTGTGGCGGTTGGGAGAAAACCGTGAATGCCGAGGTTTTGGCCAAACCCATAATTTCATTTCAACGTTTTGAAACGTTGCCATGAAAGTTCATGCAAACCGTCCATGAAATATTATTTAGCCAAACAATGTGTTTCTTTATCCCAATTTCCAAACCTTCAAGGATAAACATGAGTTTCTTGCCACTAAATTTGAATAATGAAAACATGCATTGTTTTTAGGCTAACAGCCAAGTTTCAACATTGTCGTGCAACGTATACATTTATTCAAATTAAGTGAACATGGCTTTCCAAAAAGCTTGGCATCACACCTTTCAGAAAACAGGATTTGATTTGTTGGTCTAATCCAAAATCGGTTTGATTTGGTTAGTCTGATTCAATCAAATTTCCAACAATTACAAGTCATAATAACTCATTAGTCATTAGTCATTAGTGAAGTCACGTAGGATTCTCAGTTTGCACTCCACTTTGTCCTCGGATATTTCTATGGGCTTGTTTTTCCCATAGAAAGTTCCGTCAGCTCATTGTAAAAGCCCATCCAAACTTATGAAAACTATGGTCTAATAATAAACCCACAAAAGGCCGAACCATGTGAACTGTGAAATATTGCAGCTGCGCTGCGTTGCGCCCATTGGTTGTTCTCAGTTTTGTTCGTCTAATTTCAATTCCGTGGTCCCGACGAGGATCCAACTTCGGCTTCCAGACAGACAGCGGTTAGTTTTTTACTAATTTCGGGTCACCGCCCCTTGTTCTCTTCTCCCGTTGATTGAGGTTGACAGCTAATTGATTATTCACTAGCCCTTTTTTACGTCCGTTAATGACAAAGACGGGAACATTAATTAAAACCGCTATTATGAAAATGGTGCATTATTTTGTTTCGCTTTCTGGAGTCCCCATCAATCAAGAGGCAACCATTGGGCATTAAGCTACAAACAAAACTAGTAATCAATGTCATTAATAACATTGTTTACCTTCAAACATGAGATCCCTTACTCATCCTAAAAGTCCATTTTAGTTAATTGGCCCCTTGAATTGCCTTCCCTATTGGGATTTCGACAGATGTTGAATGAGTAGGCATCAATACACCGTGATGTTATCGGATCGCAATTTCATTGGCTCATAAGTATCATTGATCTATATCGTTGAATTTTTTCTACGCTATTTACAAGATTATCCCCAAAGAGGTGTGTAAGAGTGAGATCTGTGCTATTTAATGATGGCAATTTCAACCCGCCCCGCGGGTATTACCCGACCTGACCCGCGATGGGGCGGGTATTACCTGACCCGCAGTAGCTTGGGGCGGGGCATGGGTATCTACTTCCGACCCGTCCTGCCCCGCCCGCCCCGTTCTAGACTCATTTTATCTCAATTTCTTACAATATCTATACATATTTCTCCTATTTTGACTTTTCTTCAACTAGTTAGAGTCGATCTTTCAACTTGTTAGGTTCAATTATCCATTCTATTATCAATATTTTTCATTCTTAAAGTGTTTTTCCCTCCGTTTTATTGTAAAAAGTAAAATTTACTTATATTTTTTTTTGAACATGTAAGAGTGGGTTGACTCGCATGTGCAATTCGATAGTATCAATTGCCATCGACTAAAATTGAGATTATAACAATTCGATAATATCAATTAAAATTCCCAAATTACCCTTTTGGGTTCCATTTTTATTGGTTGTCCTCCTACCTTGCCAAAAGGGGAAGTGAACAAGCAATAGAATTTTGTTATGGATACCCAATGCCAATTGGCTACTCTGTTTCCAAACTTTGAGATTTGCTTCTAGAAGCTCGTGACAGAAAGCTTGGGGTGTAGATAAAAACTGCCCTACTTTTCCAACCACTAAATTCCTATTTTGGTCCTCATACTTCACAACAAACATCCAATCAAATCCAAGGAGATTCCACTGAAACTCTGGCTGAGAAAAATGTCGCCGGTTAATTGATAGATCATCAGAAGATCCGAACTCAAGAGAAAGTTACTACATACATGTCGAATTTCAGAATAGAGCTCTAATTTTCTGAATCGAACTAGTTAGTCTAACACTACTTGCTATACAAAGATCTAAATTGCCCAAAAACAACCCCGCTTCTTTTCCCCCTTTACAAATCAGTCCCCAGATTTTCACCAGCACTGATCAGTCTCCCACCTCCGGCTTGTGTACCCGGGAGAACCGCCAGACGGGGAACCTGAACCCGAACCCGACGCGGCGGACATCACGAAGGCGTAGCTCATCGACCGCCCGAGCCGGAATAGGGACCGGTCGTAATCGGCCCGCTTGGCCGGATCCGAAAGCGTCTCGTACGCCTTGTGCAATTCGATGAACTCGCTCGCCGCGCTCTCCTCGCCGGCGACGTCCGGGTGCAGGACTCTGGCCAGCTTTCGATACGCCGACTTGATCTCCTGACACGATGCGCCCATCTGGATCCCGAGCACCTCGTAGAACGACGAGGGAGCTGCGGTGCTGGCGCCTCGCCGGCGAGTTCCCGCCGTCGACGTGCTGGTCCCCCTCTCGGCGGTGGAGGCGCAGGAGGCAGAGACTCGGAGCGGCTTGAACCCAATTCGAGACGGCTGCGACGAGTGAAATCTCCTGGTTTCGAGAGTTGGAGCGATTAGAGAAGAAGAAGAAGAAGAGGGCGCGCTGAGAAAAGCTGAGGCAGATGCCATTTTCGATTCGATTGATCGGTGTTTGAAGTTTCTTCCGATTGCTTGGATTGATGGTTCAGAGGATTCCGTTGTGAATTTTAGGTTATGGGGAGAGGGAAGACTTTGGAGGTATTTATATAGGAAATATCGATGCCGGTGCGGTGAGGGGAGATACCGAGAGAGGGATGTGTGGATTAGATTTAACCATGGTTGAGTTTCCCTTTGCTTGTTTCGCCGGAAACCATGGTTAAGTTTGGGGAGGGACGTTCTATTTTCCCGTGAGTACTCGTCCATGGGGGTTAATTGCGTTATAGTCATTCAAGTTTGTTATAACTTATCAATGCTGGGATACATTTTGGAGTTTTCACAAATGCCCTATTAAAAAAATACCATTCTATCTATAGTACATTTTCTTATTTGTGATGGAATAAAAAATGGTGATTCTATAAAACACTAAACTCTTTGGATTATTTAAACTAAAAAAAATGGTAAGAAGAAAGCAACGAGCGAATCGGTGGACATTATCACCATTGGACTAATCAGGTAAATCTTATTATACATTTGTATAATTCCTCATCTTTCTTATCAATATTATTATTATATTACATAAAAGTGGAAACAAAAAAAGTTTACAAAAAATTAGTGGGTAGTCGAGAATCGAGATACAATCGTGCTTATTATATTGTTTTAATTATTAAGGTATGATAGTCCAAGCAAGGTCTTTGGCTCTTTGCTAACAGGTGCTCTTACTTGTTGATCCCATATTTGTGGATGTAAAAATCACATGAAGAAAGATAGAAATCAGTATTCACTACTGTCAGTTCAAACTTTAGTGGAGATTTTGTTGAAACTTTTATATTTGAAGATCCATTTGTTAGTTGCTCCAAAACTTGCTGGTGGTTATGTAATTAACCCTTCTACGCACCGATATTTTCTGTTTGGGCCCGGGGGAGTGGGGCGGGCCTTATCCACGAAACACGGAGCGGCTCGGCTGGCACTCGTCCTGGACTCGGCTGAGTTGCGGTGCCTCGATGCTGAGTCAGCGGAGCGGTGTACTGAAATCGGCTGGCGACGAGTCAGTGACCGGTCGGTATCTAACTGGAGAGAGAAGAAAAAAGGAGAGAGTTATAAATTGCAAAGGGTTTCTAGAAGCTTTTCCCATTGCCGCATAAAATTAGTAACAAACAAAAATGGGGTCCATCGACCATAATGCATAAACGTATCTTTACGGTTCAGTAAAAATGGAAAGGTACGTTTTATGGGGAGGGGAGTACAATGACGAATCAGGCAGGTCTAGCTGTTACATGTTCTAGATGATCGGTAGTTAACTTAATAGTTAATACCATGATGATTTGGAAATTGAAATTCAATCCTAAGTGAGACTTCAATGTTTGAAGTTGTAAGGGTGAAATTGTAAAACATCGTATTATAATCGTAATAAGTTATGTTGTTTTTGTTATGTGGGGGCTTAGGCGGTCAAGAAAAAAATGCGCAACTCACAATGAGCTAATCACCCTATAAAGATAGTTGAATAAAGAAATATCCAAAATAAAGAACGAAACTAGAGAGGATTTGGAGCAAACCCTCTGGCAAGGAGTGATGCTCTGGATTCATAAGTCCAGATCAAATTGGGTGGTGTTTGGAGACTTGAACACTTGCCACTTTTATACAAATACTCTTAGCAAGAGAAAGAGGAACAAGATAATCTGCCTTCATGATGACCAGGGGCAATGGATCCATGATCCTCACACCCTCCTCTTCATGGCCAGGGAGTATTTCCTTCATCTCTTTACTAGAAATGCCTTGATCACTAGAAGTGTTATTCCTGCTGATTTTCCTATTCTTGATAGTTCTGTTCTAGCTAGAATGACTTCTCTGCCTAATTATGAGGACATTAGAAAGGTCATTATGGACATGAATGGTCTTAAAGCTCCAGGAAAGGATGGCTTTCAAGCCATCTTTTACCAGCACGGGTTTTCTGGGCTAAGTGTATCTTGTCTTTACCACGAATTCTTTTCCTTGGTTAACAATATTCTTAGTTTTACCGATATCTGCGGGTTCCTTAATTTTCCTTTTCCCTCATAAAGGAAATAAGGTAATTAGGTGGTATACTTTATATAAATGTTGGGATGTTGTTGAAAGAGACTTTTGTGCTTTTATTTATGCTTGTATTAGGAACTCTAGTAGAATCCAATGCATGAATGAGACTATGATTACTCTAATCCCCAAAGTGAAAAATCCCTCCTCAATGAGTCAATTTAGACCCATCAGCCTCTGCAATGTTGGTTATAAAGTGGTGACTAAGCTTGTTGCCAACAAGCTTAAACCCCTGATGCCTCAGTTGGTTAAGAAGAACCAATCTAGTTTTATCCAAAAAAAAATCCCTTATTCCTAATCTCCTCAAACCCTCTTCTTTCTCCTCCAACACCCCCCCTCCTCCCATCGTCAATCAGACAATCACCATTAATCTGCTTCCAAGACCCCTCTTCTTCTCCCATCTGCTACTCTCCTCATCCTTCGATTTCTTCTTTCTCCTTTAACTAAGAAAACAAAAAACTATAAAAACCAAAGATTTGAAATCATTCTTTTCCAGGCATCAGACCTCCAGCAACCAACGCCATCCTCTAGCATCTTCGGTGCCCTCGTCAACATTGGCATCCTTGCATTTTGGATTATCGCATCTCCTCTGTCCTCACTAAAAAAAACTTTTGCATCCTTAACTCTCTAGTGTCCTCGCAAATCTAGGGTTTCAGATGGGATTGGAAGGGCAAGGGGGCAACAACTGATGGTTTCGATTATGGTGGGAAGTGACTATTTTTGGTATTTCGCCAAACGTAGCTATATTTGGCCAAACCGTCAAAATTTTGACTACACAGGCGAATTTCGCCTTTATTTTTTAATAAATTATTTGATCTCATTATCACAACTTGTTGGAAGAAAGTTAATTATAAATCTTATAGTACGTAATCTATGACAAAGTCAACCCACGGATTGAATTTATACACATATGAATATTACATACTTAAAAGTTAAAACTGAGAATCGTCAAAATTAAAAAACAAAAAAAAAAAAACAAAATGCCTTAGTCATTAAAAGCTCTAATGCCACATCAAGAACTTTCTCATATGTACAATACTACAATTAACCTTTTGTGATTAACGGTACTCATAGTCTCATACCACACATCTCCTTGTTCTCTGATCACATTGCTTAATTATAGCACTGACTTAGCCACGACATCAAGTTACATCACACTAGCTGAATCGGGTTCGTTACCTTATGTTAAAACGATTTACTAACTAATGTTATCTTTCCTTTTTTAACAAAAACCTATCACTTAAACTGGATTCTAGAACCCGAACTCCTGAAGTCGGCCAAAAATTCCAAACACAAGAAATTAAGTGCTTAGTCAGGAAATTGTCAGATATTGAATGTGTGGGCCGGGTAGTGGTAGAGTATTCTTTTCGTCAAATAATTTACAATGCTTTAAAAGGACCGAAGGAGTAATTCGTTGAAAATTTGAGCTATTTAGTAATTAAATAAATGCTTTGGAGTTATTTTGTAGACTATTCTTAATTTCAACAACGAACTTTATAATTTGATGCTGAACTTGGTACACAAGTTGCGTTGAACTGCTTGCAGAGTACTAATTGATAAGTTTTTATTTGATTATGAATAGAAGTAATGATTGATTCTTTGGTTATTATATCTAAAAATTTTGAATGACTAAAATATCTCTAAATTACGTTAATCTTAGGCATCTCTCGCGTTATCCTGCCTCATAAATGAATTTGATATTAATTTCTGATATTGATATTGCTTTGATTTTAGGGTACAATCATTCAAGCTAACATTAAAGAACTTAAATTTACTAGTTAATTAAACCTATATAACGCGAGGTCAAATAAAAGATTAAAAATCCGTATCGAAAATTGTAAACCGTCAAATTGATCCATCAACAGCTATCACAGGCTTCTCCAGAGCGTCGGAGGCTAAATTGGTAACATGCCGTTCTCCCATTTCATGATCCAACTCTCTATTTCCATAATATTAATATCTCTAGTCTCTACTTCAATGCTAGTTACTTAAAGCTAGATATTAAAGTGTGGATCATCCATCCTTCGGCCTGCCTATGGTGACCTCTCGGATGACGTTGATAATATCATATGTTGATGGTTTGGGGGTGTAATTAAAGGAACATATGGTTTCTGAAAAAAAAAAGTAAAAAAAAAAATCTGCCGTGAATGTTTGTTGAAATATGGTTTTGAGTCTTGATTAGTGCTTTATGTTATTTATTATATGAACTAGTTTCATAGTGAGGGTCATTAATTAAGCTGGAACATTAATATAATTAGATTAATCGGTGATTTCATAAAACAATAAAGTAAATATCGCGAGTTCTTCTACGATCGAGGAGGGCTTGGGGGGGTGGTGGAGTTGGGACAAGCCGTCTAGTCTGGGTTTGTGTGTGCAGATGGGTGGAGCAATATAGGTTTATTGGTCGTTCTTGTAATAAGGTGATCCATTTGGTGTCCAAATTCCAATAGAGCCCTTTCTTTGGACCCTAATAGTGTCTGGTTTGATTTTCTTTCGTGGCTAGTATCAGTCACTTAATTATGGTTTACTAACATATAAAAGGTTGGGGGTGCTCTTTAAGTGTTTCATTTTCGACAAATGAAAAAATTTAGAAAGAAAGTATCAAAATTCGTCTTATTTTTATCCACGATTTTGATAATTTTTATAATAAATCTAAACGAAATATTGTTTTTTAAACACATCATGGATATATACAATTAATAAATAAAATTTATTTATAAACACATAAAATCAAACATCCGACTAGATTGAAGAAAAGACAATCGCTCAAAAATACACCTGATTTTGATAAGTGAACACAAACACACCCTATAGCTTTCATTCATAACCAAAATCAGATGCAAAAAAGCCACTGGGAATCACAGAATGTGCCAGATTTTGATTGATTAGTTTCTCATTTAATTATATCGGGTTGGTTAATAAGA